ATTAAGGAAACTGATGCCTATTGTAGGCAAACTATACCTGGGTTTGGAAAAGACACCTATCCTAGCCTTCAAAGTAAACGTTGTCCAATCTTAAGTTTGGTGGACTTATGTTTTCTGAATCAATCTGCCCATTTGTATTTCTCACTGGAACACATTTGCACTGCCCTTATAATCACACACAGAATCACTGTATCAACAAGCGTCATCCAAAAAAAGCTATCTGCACAGAACAAACAAGACAGCTCAGCTCCAATGGAGAAAAAGATGCCTACCATTCTCAAATTCCATGTTACAAACTGCTTGAGGATAGAGAGACAGATATTATAATACTTCCCACGCCAGGTAGGGAAAAAACACAAACACTTGCAACACATTCATCCATTTCTATTTCAGCTTGTAAGAACATTCTCTTTGTTATCTACAGAGTTCACAAAAATATTCCAAACACAAATAATTCACTTGAGGCAGAGCATCTGTTCTGAGAATCAAAGCAATCCAAGAAAAAATGAAAAATGTCCCAATAGTCAAGAGGTTTAACTGTTTTATCTAGAATGGAATCTATTGAAGTTTGATAAGTCCTACACGTTAACAGATTTTAACCACTTAAGTATTTTGCCCATCTACAAGAATTCAGAAAGGGTTTAAATTTGGACTGTGATGATAGTAAGTCAAAAGATCAGTTTTATCATAACTCTAAAGCCCAAGATTAGACCATGTACATGACATCTTTATTAAATTCGTCGAGGAGATAAAAGTTGAGCCAAGGAGGATATTTAGTCACATACTGAAGTATAATGGTTTGTATCTCCCAATTTTAATACTTGGGCCACCATTGTTCTCTTATTGAGCAAATGATTCCATGAAAACAACAAGAACCATCCTACCTGGTATACCTGCATAATAAAAGTAGACAAGTTCCACATGACCTACATGCGTATAATCCACAAAAAATGACCCTTCCTAAGTATTTTCAATTTCAATACAATTGACAATATTTACTAGAGGCTCCTTTTTCTGTTTTATCATTAGGGATATGATCTTTGCTGTTTAGGCATCAATCTGTTCCTGCTTCTTGTTCCTCATGAGCTTTTCACTATATAAATCACCTCTACAAATAATAGTGAGGTCTCAGAGAAGAGGATTTCAGGTGAATAAGCAACAGGACTTGCTTGCAGAGGAGTTTCTAACAAAGAATGAGCCTGTTTTTATGCATGGTACAGAGCGTGCGTTTTAGCACAGTACTCAATAAAACTTGTATTTAGAGACTGCTAGGAAGGAGCTGCTGAGTCTAATACTTAAGGCATTCACTTTTACTTCTGAGAAATCTGACTTCCGAGCAATATTTGCTGTGCAGACTCTAATAAAAAGTCAAGTTTATTATAGAAAGGAGTCCGGGTCAGATTTTCTGAAATTTTGCATAAAAGGCAAAACATCCAACCCTACATTTACTTGTATATTTTCCTCCACTCTATTCATTTCGACAAAACAGCACCCCTCAGATTTCACGATTGAAAACAACAAATAGCTCTTCAACACAACCCACTTTAGACTGAACAACATGACAGCATAACATGCAGAAGGGTAGTGAGTTGCATTCTGAGTGGCATATAACACAAAAGAAATAGAGTAGCTTAGCTTGTATTCCTCTGGTAGAGCACAAGCAGCTGTACATTCAGTAGATAACAGTTTTACTGGCTACTTTCAAAGCATGAAGTCAGCCATGGAAACAAATAATAGAAGATTCAGTAGCTACATGCATTCTCTTTCTGTAGCAAAAAGTTTTTCAGGAGGAGGGAGAGAAAGAAGGGACCTGGAATGTGGTTCATACTCCACACTGGCAATGAAAGGGTTAAGGGGCATTGGTGAGCTCAATTAGCAACTACAAGCCATGTCAGGTTCAAGTAAGGCTAATATGTAGGGAAGGAGCTTCGTGGCAAATATAAAGAGAAGGTTTCAGGGCACAAGGGGAAAGAAGCCCAGGAGAGTAGGCCCTGGAGTTCTCTCCTGAGAAAAGAGCTCTGAATTAGTCAGGAGAGAGACTAAGAAACTACAGGGGTGGATAAAAGAACCAGATCTCTTGGGGGAAAAGCTCTGGGCAGTATTGCTCACTACCAGAGCCAGAAAGGAGCTGGGCAAGAGGGCCGAGGAACAGACCAACATAGGAACAGCAAGGAGTTGGAAGGAGCAGACCTTGGCTTTTCACTACTATGTCTTAGGACCAGAAACCAGAGGGGGTGGGGGGATCTGGGTTCCCCTCCCCAAACTTAGGAAGGTGGTGTGAAACCCCCTGATGCAAGATATAAAGACTACCGGAAGCCCTGAGACAAGAAAGTGGAAGGACTACTGGACTCAGGTTTAGGGGCCAAAAACCTGACATAAGGTCATTGAACTCAGAGGGCTGAGCCTGAGAAACAGCAGACCGCTGCAGGGCCAAAGAGGCTGTAAGGAGGGGGTGACAGAGGAGGCGATCCTGCCAAGCCCAGCCATGAGAGGGCATGCTGGCTGGTGAGTCACTGCTCCGTAGGACCTGTCCATATTAGTATTTAACCTTGTTATGGTGCCTGAAACACTTGAGGACTTTTGTAGGTACAATCTGGGCTAATTAGATTGTGAAAATGAAATATTTCAGCTGACTCAGTGTCCTCTAAAAATGGATCTCCTTACAGAGGAGGAAGCTGAACGTCCTTCCAGCACAAAGATAGAGAAACAAAAATTCTGCTGTGGTAGTCAGTGATGAGCTGCCAAAATCTTAACAGGTTCCCTCCTCACCCCACGAGGGGGTTGTTGCCCACCCCCGCCTCCCGGGACTCCTGCCCCATCCAACCCCTCCCCTGTTCCCTGACTGCCCCCAGAACCGGGCAGGAGGGTCTTGTGGGCCACGGTAGTGGGTGCCCACCCCTAAGAGCCAGAGGGACCTGCTGGGGGCCGAGGTGGGGAGTCCCGGAGATGCTTACCTGGAGCAGCTCCCAGGAAGCATCCGGCAGGTCTCTCTAGCTCCTAGGGGCAGGGGAGCGTAGCTGGGGGGGAGCAGGGCTGGAGCACCCATGGGGAAAATTTGGTGGGTGCAGAGCACTCACCAGCAGCTCCCTGCCCCGCCCCCAGCTCACCTCACCTCCGCTCCGCCTCCTCCACTGAACACACTGCCCCGCTCGGCTTCTCCGCCCTCTCCCCCGGCTTCCCGCGAATCAGCTGTTCGGCAGGAAGCCTGGGAGGGCTGAGAAGCAGGCGGTGGCTTTCCGCTCAGGCCGAGGGTGGTGGAGGTGAGCTGGGGCGGGGAGCGGTTCTCCTGCACTCCCCCTCCCCCCGGGTTACCTGCTGCAGCGTGGGCACAGCCCCCCCCCCCCCGTGCCCTCCCCCGCCCACTTCTGCCTCCCTGGGCCTGAGCAGGAAGCCACGGCCTGCTTCTCAGCCCGCCCCGGCTTCCCACGTGAACAACTGATTCGCAGGAAGCGGGGGTGGGGGGGGTGGGCGGAGTGGAGAAGCAGAGCGGGGCGGAGAAGGAGGAGGCTGGAGCACCCATGGAGGTGGCGCCCAAGGCACCACTTTTGGCTGGTTAAATTTAGAAGCCCTTTTAGAACCGGTTGTCCCTCACGGAACAACCAGTTCTAAAAAGGGCTTCTAAATTTAATAACCAGTTCTAGTGAACCGGCTCCAGCTCACCACTGGGTACAGTCTATACTGATAAGCATACCAGATGCCTTTTGGTGGATATCCATTGTGTAAATTAATAGTGATCTACCTTAGGAGAGTGAGATGGAGAGAAGAATCTCAAAAAATCTCTAAAATGGAGAACAGATTTTTTTTTTTTTAATCACTTTGAGACTTAGCCAATCATTATGGGAGAAAAATTCTTAATAGCTGAAATATAGTCTATTTTCTTATACCTTGCTTTTCATTAGTGTTTATGAATCATTTTCAATTAAAGAAAGACTGAGAAAAAGCAAACCAGTGCACCCAGCCAACCAGCAACAAGTTAATTGCAGTGCTATAAAGCACAACTCTAACCTGCCCTTTATGAATTTTGTGTGGCGTGCTGGCTGGAAGGGTTTACGTTGCTTAATAAAGCCATCCTTGTGCTTCACAGGCAGACTTGCAGCTAGTCAGTGAGGTATGGTCTGTTTGAAAAATGTAAATAAGAAAAGGGAGGTGGTAAATCCCTAATACATAGCCGGTATAAAAACCATCAATAATCAAAACAAGGTTTCTTTGGGATATGGTATTTCTATAATTTGTGCTAAATTTAGATTTAATTGTAAAATTAAATCTAAGTAGTTTTACTAGAGTGTCTCTTTTACAACTGAGTTTTAGCAGTAAAGCTTTAGAGATGTTCTTACCATGCTTCAGATGTAGGCAGCTGTCATTCTGGGGCCTGTACCTGTAGAAGATTGTTGTTCTTTAACAAATTTCTACTGAAGAGATTTTGCACATTCCAAATAAGTTTTATGATACAATATTATATAATTTGTTTTGTTCTTTTTTATGGTTCTTATACCAGCCATTTTGTTGTTTTTTAAATATATTTTTCAAGTAAAAGGAAAAGAAAGAGACCTCACTGATGCTTTGAGCCAACCTATAAGGCAGCTGTTAGTGTACAAAAACTAAAATGTAAAAACACAATGGAAATACTACAGTGGCTACTAAAGTTACATGAAAGGATTATTTAGTGTCAAATCACAGGTCTGACACACTTTCTTCTAAGTCTAAGTATGATAGGGAAATGGGCATAAAGGAAATAAACAAGCAAAACAAGACAATAAAGATGGCAATGGATAAGTTCATCCAAAGTGAAAATGCCTATTTGATGCATGTTTAATCACTCACATTCAAAATAAAATATTTTAAATATAAAAAGATGTGAATCAGAAACAAGTGAAAGAGCTGAAATGGAACAGTCAGTGCTGGTGGTTGTGTGTGTGTGTATGTGTCTGTGTGTTTGTTTTTGTTTGGTTGGTTTTTAAAAAAACAAAAACACCACCACAAGAGAGCCACTCTCAACATACCTGCTGTTGACTCCTGTAGCTTCTCTCTCTTCCTCTTCTTTTTCTTCCCCTGGAAGATAGATGAATTTACCATACCATTCTATATATAGAATTATTTTTCCTGTGTCATCTCCACCCACTAACTATTAAACGACTTCTGTGCATAACATCCCAAATCGGAGGATATTGTGAAAAAGTGGCATGGAAGCAATAGCATTTTCAATGTAGTTAAACCCAATCTCACATTTCTTCCAGCTGTTCCAACTGTAGTCACAGTTTTACCCTTTTCATGCTTATGGAGAAACAGGTGCAAGGGCCTTAGAATGCGTTTTTTAAATGTGACAAGTCTTCCAGACACCTAGCATTTGCCAGCATTATTTGGTCACAGGTAGACCACCAACAGAAATATTTTCTTGCCGATGTAGAAACACTAGGTCAGTGCCATAATTTACAGTCCTAAGATGTCTTCATAGATCATCTTAGAATCTAACAGGAAAGAAACAGTTTCATGTGACACCAACAGAAGGGTTTTCCAGGTGCAGAAATAGCTGGCAACTAAACTTGCCCTCATGTTATAAATCACCCAGTAAGAGTTTGGTCCAGTATGTTAACTGTAAAATCAAGGTCCTGTGTGTCCTGAGGCTGAAGAATTTGCCATAGAAGCCACCCTTGGAGCAGAATTGTGTTCCAGAAACTAAATTTTCATTAAGAAATTGCTAGTCCTTGTGCTTGCAAAGATAACCTTTTAAAAACATGAACCTAGTATAAAATCCATGCAGCATGGTCTCTGAGTTTGCAAAGAGCCTGAAACAATATCTCAAAGTCATGAACTGCCCCACTCATGTAGATGTGGCATTAACTGCGGAACGTTACCTCTGAAACATGACGACATGCATTTATATGCACCATAATAGATGGAAAACAACAAACAGTAAGACATTCTGTCTGGAACAACTTTTGTTATGTAAGTGCATGCAACATTTGTGTTATTGGTATTGAGAGAATGGATTACTCCTTTGAAGCTCTCCATGATCATGCCAGTCAAATTGTGGTCATCAAGATTGCTGTTCACTCACGAATGCTATTTCAATTGACTACAGTATTCTTACTCACTGTCAAACTGTTGGACGTATAAGTGTTCCATCTCCTAGTCAGCTACATTTCAGTGATGGACAAAATACTTTATTATATAGATTGCTTTGTCATCCTTCAGAATTAAAGATACTATACATAAATATAAGGTAATATTTAGTTTTCAATCCAGTTTAGGGGAATCGAAAGTAAAAGAGTTACCTTCTAATTGAGGTTTTATGCTATAAAAAGTTGTACTACTTTTAACTCGGGCTAATTTGCTTTCTGCTGCCTGATGGATTGCTAAGTAGTGGCATAATAAAAAAAAAAAAGGTAGGTATAGCCAGTCCATCTGAACAGGGACATATTTACACAGAAGCCCTCCTTGCAAATCAGATCTTGTCTACACTTGAAATGCTACAACAGCACAGCTGCACTGCTGCACCACCATGTAGTGCTTCAGTGTAGACACTACCTATGCAGACAGGAAGGGTTCTCCTGGCGGAGTAAGTAATCCATTTCCTCAAGAGGTGGCAGCTAGGTCAATGGAAGAATTTTTCTGTCGACCTAGGGGGTAGGTCACACTGGAGGGGTAAGTCAGCTTCACTATATTGCTCAGGGGTGTGGATTTTTACACCCCAGAGCGATGTACCTGAGTCGACCTAACTTTTTAACATAGACCAGGCCTAAGACATTTTTAAAATCAACTACATGATACCAGAAGCTTGCTCGGAATATACTGAGTTCAAATGCAGTTTGTGTTTACCATATTACTCATGAGTGGCAGGATAAAGCTCTCATGTTAATAGGTAAAGTGATCAGCCAAAAGGATTGGTGAACAACTCTTGATTTGTATCAGCTCCTCTATTCAAGTATCTCAAAGCACTTTTGCAGACACTAAATTCCAAATACACGTGTGTTAGGTATGTCTACTTCACATGTAGAAATGAAGGCACAAAGTGTTAGATTTTACAAAGTTTTTTAGCCACTGAATGCAACAGAATGGATAAGGATAGGCCATGAAAGGCTTTACATGTGACCAGAACTCCTGCCTTCCTTTAACATTACATGAGCACTTATGTGACCACATGGCAATCATGCCAACCCACACAGTAGAAGAATGTGTCAGTAACAGTTTCCCCCTTCATACATGAAAGAGGGCAGGGCCCCATCTGTGATCTTTTACAAAGCTTCCATTTTTAGCTAGGCCCACAATTTTAGTTTCTGTTGGCCTTAGCCCATTCTAACTGCCATCTCTACATCCTTCAGCAACGTTTCTTCCCTGCCCTACATTGCTATCAAAACTCTGGTCTTCTAAACCTCCTTGGGATGGTGACCCAGCTAGTATTCGTTAAGAGTCTGTTACCAAACATTATGCCAATTTCCACACAGCACTCTTCCAATCCTGGCCTGCATCACTTCTGGTGTTCACCTCCTTGCCTGTCCTCAGCAGAGCGCCAATAGCAACAGATAATTGGATATGAATAAACTTCCAGAGGCTAGGTCAAGACCAAACACTTAACTCCTGAGCTAAACCAAACTTCAAGGTCTTCAAAAGCACATCAGCACCCTGTTCCACCTATACCGCTAGAGAGAGTGCCTCTTTACAGAGCAGCGGTCATGATGCAACATGCAGTTTGGGAATACCAGGAGAGCAAGACCTTTTTTGCTTGACCTTGTCATCTGAGGTGAAATTATGAATACACTGGCGCATTAAGATAGATGAAAACAATTGGAAATTAGATCAGGAAATTCGGGAAAAGCTAGTTGTCAGCATTCCCCAAAAAAGGTATTAAATTCTGGCAGCTCAGACATTGCTACATTAACACTATTTTCTTGGGTCTCCCGTAATGGTGTTATCAAATGACAGACGTAGTTTTGCTAGCAATTTCTCCCTCTTTACTGACGAGGATCCCAATACAATGTCTTTTCAAGAATACCATGAGATTTTTTTTTTTTTGCCAAGAAATGTTCCTTCTTATGAGATTTCTGAGAGCACCCGAATAAAACAAAAGCATCACACTGAAGGGGTGGGGGGAGAGACTATGTTGTGTAAAACTAAGCCACCAGTACATTAGTAGCCCCAAAACATAGTGACATTCCAGGGTATTTACACCTCATGTACTAGATGTATACTGACCAGTCTAAAGTCCAATTCAAACATAACCAGGCAAAGTGACCATTTAAAAAAAAGCGAATCACTGTTGAAGCAATTTATTTTAAGTGATAAACTGCTCTTTACTGGGCTCTTCTGCTCATCACCCCTGCTAACACAGAACTGTATTCTGATGAGAGAAAGGTACTGCAACCTTGCGTCCAAGAGCATACGGTATAATATGCTGTGTCCATCATATGCATGCCCCCAGAGAAGCGTGATGAAGTACTACACAAAACAGTTGGTGACACCAAAAACAGGAGTGCCCTCATTTGCAGTATCAGAATACCCAAGAGTCTCAACATGGCACTTCTGCCTCATTGTCAGAATGTAATGGCTAGCAGCACGCTCTGATTTGGGGTTGAAAATAATGTCGACACAGTCATTAATCTGGATGTGCTGCACTGGAGATGGACATCAAACCTAATTTCCCTATATCTTGTAGTTGCCCAGGTTGAAAGGACAAGTGTATAAGGGTAACTAGTTTATTGCCAGCGTTTCCTCACACTGGTGCTGGTTCTCCTACCCAAGGCACTGTTACAGTAAAGGATCATCCCATCAAACACTGAAAATAAGTCTTTTCCTCTACTTTGGATCTTACTCAGGGTGGCTTCACATGCTGAAAACCTTAGTGACAATTTGATTTGGTATTTCAAAATAATTTAGGATTTTTGGAGAAATGGAAAATTTTAAGATTTGAGATAAAGATCTGTTTGCCGCAAACACACTGATTTTTATGTTCTCCTATAAAAGTGGCCATTCTGTGGAAGTTCTCTCAAAAGAAGATTTTTGGATAGTCATCGGCCAAGACCAAATGGAAAAACAGCACGTGAAATTTGAAGAGAGTTACTTTCACAGGGCTATACATAGTAATACAAGAAATTGTATAGGACATATGATAATATTGGGGAGGGGGAGGAAATCTTAATGCAATAATTCTACATATTGAACTTTGAGTTTCCTCTTTCACAAAAATATGAGGCATCATGCTCATGCATTTCAAGACAGAATGCATCAGTCAGAAAGTATTATGGCTACAAAGTTTTCCAAACTTGGATGTTTAAAGTTTTGGTCTTCACATCTATATGTATTCTCATTTTAGGCTAGGATTTTCAGAGAAGTCTAAGGGACTTAAGGTGACCAAACTCCCTTTGGTTCTTTTGACAATCTCAGATTTATTTAAATATTAAATATTTACTTCACTCACTCAGTTCTACACTAATTTGTTGTGATGTAAGCAGCACTAATGCAACAAGCAAGCAGATTTCCTTAAAGGAAAGTAAATACAAGGCTAAGTTTTTATGGTCCTTGACCACCCCACCTCCCAGAGCCTTTCACAGTAAAAATCAGTTAGGAAACACTAGTTGAAAATATCCATCAAGTGAATGACTTACATAGTTATCTCTTGCAGACCAGCCTGGGTAAAGCTGCATATGTAGCTGCCTTTCTTTCCGAGCTAGTTCATAATATTTAGCTTGTTCTTCACGGGAGAGAGCATGCCACTTGAAATAAAACAAAGTGTTAAATTAGGAAATGCATCATACCCAAACAATGTGTCTCATGAACAAATGTTTGTGACCTTTTTTGGTCCTTTTCCACTGCAAGTGGAGAAGAAATTCATTACTTATCACAAGCTCTTGCATTTCCTACCCAACCATTTGAACATTTGTCAGCATTATAAATGTCAGCTGCCTGGAGCTAGACAAAATTTGTTTATGCCAACTACAGGATTCTCCATATAATCTATTCAGGGAGCCATGATTGCCCACCATCATGTGAGAAGTCCACAGTACTGATAATAAAAATAAATGTGCCTTTACGCTGTCTTCTCCATTTCACATATCTGAGTGCAAACATTAAAGATACATCTACACTGCAGCAGTGAAACTCTGCAGTTGTAGCACCATAGTGTAGATGTTTCTTACAATTGACGGAAGGGTTTTTCCATCAGCGTAGTTAATCTCTCTCAAAAGGAAGTCACGAGATCAATGGAAGAACTTTTCATCAACCTTGCTGCATCCACTCCAGGGATTAGGTCAACCTAACCCCAGCACTTGGTGCAAATTTTTTCACAGCCCCAAGCAACGTACAGAGACTGGTCTTTTTTAAGTTAAGACTAGGCCTAAGGCTCGGTCTACACTCAGACGTTAGGTTGCGATAGCTACATTGGTCGGGGTTGGGGAAGCCACACTCCTGACAGACACAGCTATGCCAACCAAACCTTCAGTGCAGGCACAGCTGTGTCAATGGGAGAATGCTTTCATCAGCAAAACTAACTTCATTCAGGGAGGTGATGTTCCTAAATTTATGGAAAAAACCCTCCCATCAGCATACAGGACATATGCCTACGGGACAAGAGAATGCTGGCATAGCTATGCCAGCATACTTTCCACAGTGGAGAGACAGCCTAAGTAAGGCTCCAATACAAGAGAGCCTCCTGTCTTAGGTTTAAAAACAACTAATATATCCATATTCCTATAGGCGCGATTCTAACTTGAAGGCTGGTAAATGAAGTTACAGAAAGAACGTCAGAAGCTATTTGGGGAAGGGACTTTTTGTTTGGTATTTGTACAGTGCCTAGCACAGTAGGATCCTGTTCCATGATTAGGACTCCTAGGCACTATTGTAATACAGAAAATTAACTTTTGCAAGTTTGCTCCAGTAAGGCAACCAGATAGTCCAACTGCATCCTAGTAACCATCAATTCAGCATTATAGTGGCATCTGCAGCTCTGCCTGTGACCTAATGCTGTGACCTGTCCCCCTGCAAACACTAAGCCAGTCTTTTGCTGGCTCCTTGGTGCAGAGAAAAGTTTCTAAAAGTACTGGAACAAGGACATTTCTCCTTTCCATCTTCCTAGCTTCATTAGTGAATTTTCCAAAGGCCAAAAAAGGGATGCTTTGTTATCACCCACATTTAAAATCTAACCTGCATAGTTGGTGGGGCACTGCCAGATAACAGGGTCAGTGTCCAACCCTTTTCTACTTCAGAACTAAAGGGTTTATATAACTTTTTAAACTTGTGCAGAGTCAAGTTCACTGTTTTCCCCAGAAGAGCCATTTCCCTTGTTTGTTTGGATTCTTCACACAACATGGAAGAGTTGTTTTTAAAAATAAATGATGTGACAAACTAGCAGGGAGACTCAGAAGCAGGAGTGCCCACCTGAAATTAACTACTTTTAACAAAGGACTAGGATTTCAGGTCAAGAATGTCCTTTTAATGTCTTTCTTTTTGACACTTCGGTTTAAGATGCACAGTAAAGGTTTGGGTTTAACTTAGCAAATTCCAATATGTTGCTGAAAGCATAACAATCTATCCTATTTATGGCTTTCTACCAGGCTAAATGCATGGTATCTCAATGCTATCCAAAGAGCACTGACTACTCCAGAATAAATAATGTTTGTCTTTTACATCTGAGCAGTCAGTCAATCTGGGACACCCAGTAAAAGGAAAGTAACAGCTAGGGAACAAATTCCACACAAAGAACGCCATTCAGGCAGCAGGCAGACACAACTACGACAGCCAGATTTCAATAGAAAGAGAGGCTAGACGAGAAAGGTCAGAGTACCTCAAATAGCTGCCAGTTTAAGCATTTCTGCTCCAATGCACGGAAAGTGAAAATCCTTAGGAAAGTGTTTAAGACAAGACACATTTTTGGGAAAATTATGCTGTTCAGAGCAAAATGATGCATTGAATATAGCTGCCATATGACCATGAAAATAGAAACATCTTTCTAATAAAAGAAGCTCACCTTTCTGTTCAAAACTTAGTAGGAAGTTTACATGTAACATGAGGAGGTGAAAGTGCAGTGGCACGAGGAATTCCATTCTATTTTTTGGGGTCACCGGTTCCTAAAGGTCATGTAACTGTTTCTGATGTGGCAGAGCAGCACAAGTTTCATTTCTCATTGGCTTAATTGTTCAGACCCCTGGACTACCCAACAAAGCCTGGACTTCAAAATCTTGCAGAAGATTTTCTTGTACAAGTGCAGAGGCCCCTTTGCATAAAGGAGATGTTCTCCCATATCACATCTCTTGCAAGTCAGCTACACATGCAAATTAAGGTTTCATTTTTTATTTTTATATAAATAAATAAAAATATAAAGGATTTAAGTTCAGGGTCTAAAAAAAGAACTCAGGACATCAAAAGAATTCAGAGTTTTTTTCTCTCTCTTTTTTTTTTTTAAATCAGAAGACATATCTAATATTTGCCTGTGGTGGATGCAACAGTTAACAGTTCTCACTGATCCCAGAGTGCTGACAACTTAAAACCTAGACTCTCGAGAGGCTCAGAGAATAGGAACTCTTCCCACTTGCATCTAGGAGTTTGTCAAAGAGGTCACCATTCCACAATAGCATCAGAATGCCCAAAAGCCTGCAAAGGTGTCAGAATACAAGCTCTTTGAGGCAAAGACCACATCCCTGTGTTTAATTGACAAAAGGCAATGAAAGGGGATGAAGGAGAGATAGCAAATAAGGGCTCATCTGCACTTGACACACTAGAGTGGTGCAGCTGCAGCATTTCAGCATAGACACTACTTACACCAACAGGAGGGGCTCCAATCAGCACAGGTAATCTACCTTCCCAAGAAGAGCTAGCTAGATTGACAGAAAAATTCTTCCATTGGCCTAGCACCGTCTACACCGGGGGTTAGTTGGCTTCACTGTGTTACGCAGGGGTGTGGATTTTTCATACCCCTGAGCGATGTACCTGGATCAACCTAACTTGAGTTTAGACCAGGCCTAAGGTTACAAACACTCAAAACGTACATGTACACACACACTCACTCACACACAACATAGGTTTTGTGTTTGTTTTGTTTCGTTGAGGGAGATGGGGTGGGGTGGATTAGTTAGAAAGTAAGAGCCACATAAAGTTGTTGACACACCTTAAAAGTAGGTCTTGAGGTACATTAGTGAGATTAGCGGGGTAGCCTGGATTAAAAGATTCTGAGATTTGTGAGATAAACAAAATGAAGCATCAAGGCTAGAATGATTAGTGGAGAGGAGGAGAGCGAGTCTCATTAGGCAGGGCCATGAAGGCAGTAACAAGAAACTTGAGTTTGTGATGGAGAAGGGGCAGCCAATGAAGTGATTCAAAGAAGAGGGGGAGGGGTGTGTGGTCAGACTGCCAGGCACAGGAGATACCGTGGTAGTTTCATTTTGTAAGTATTCAAAGGAATAACATGAATGTTGGAAACTAGAGAGAAGAGCGGTTGCAGTAGCCAAGACAGGAGGAGAAGGGTGTGATGAGAGACTTCACTGTTTAAACAGATTTCTTCATTTGGAGGGAACAAGTAGCCATGTTATAGCAGAGAAACAGCTCTGCTATAGACATAGTTAAAGTTGTTTCATTTTCTGTTTTAAGGTGGATTCTACAGGCTCTAAAACCCATACACAGACTCCAACTGTCTTGAAATTTGCTGTGACTCATGGGAGTGCTGGGTAGGGTTAGTGGTCCAAATTTGGGGTCATTGTTCCCAAGAATCATCCCTTCTAAAAACCCAACATTTTACAAAGTCGTACAATTCACGGAGCAGCACGGGGATGTTGGAGCAGTGAAGAGTGTGCAGAGATTGGGAGGGGAGATTAGGAGACAGGGCTCTGGGGCTTTGGCAAGGGGAGAGAGATAAATGGGGATTGGTGGCAAGAGAAGGAGATCAAGGGGAGACGATGCAGATGTAGACAGGATGAGGTGTGGTAGGGAGATATTGGGTGGGCAGGGATTAGGGGCAGGGGCTCTGTCAGTTCCATATCTTCCCCTCTTGTTTGAGGTGCCACCCCCCCCCCCGCACTCTTCTCCTCTTGTCCTAGCTGAGCTGCAAAGTGGGGGCAGATGCCTTCCATTCACAGATCCATCAATTGGGCAACAACTGAGGGCCAGAGGGGGAACACCTCACATAATGAGGAGGATGAAATGGCAGGAAATGATCCCTTCTTTCCCTGACCCTCCGTGTGCCAGCATCTGGGAAGGCTAAGGGTACATCTACACTACGGAGATTACACCAGCATAGCCGTGCCACCATAATCCCATATAGTTCAGAGCTTCTTCAAATCCCCATTTACACAACTGAAGTCAGCCAGCTCAGAGATGTGTGAACTGCTCCACTAATCTCAGGCAGAGAAACAAGGAGATGATGCAGGGGCAGTGAAAGAATTAACATGCAGCCAGTTCATTCTGTGGCCTGGTTAATCACTGCCAAGGAGCTAGGGGCAGTGGTACATGGGGATGCAGAGAAATTGTTTTAAATAAACCAGATTAAATTAAATACCCCAAAACTTCATTAATGTAGAGTTAAGCTTACTTAGTGGTGCCTCGTGCCCTTCCAGAACATAAAGAGTGGCTAATTTTAAACCTCTAAATACCAGGAAATGAATTAAGGTACATGTTACCCCTTCTTTGCGCAGAGACAATCGGTATATTTCTACAGCACCTAGCACAATGGGGCCCCAACCTGGTTGGCTTCTAGATGCCACCACCATATAAAAGGTTAAATAATTTTTATGTCAAGTACTGTGTATTTAGAGGAATATTCCAGGGAGAGGACAAAAGTTACACAGGCTGACTCCAATTGCGTAAACGGGGATTTGCAGAAATTCTCACATCTAAAGTATTGCATAAGGGAGGAAGAAAACGTTCAAGATGCACACAAAATAGCTTATTCAGTCTTTGTTAAAGCACAAATGGGAATTTTCAATCTTCTGGCCACATTAAAAAAGAATAATCATAATCAAATAAAGCATGCTTTGATGGAGTCAGGAAGCAAAGTTTACAATATTCTTTACAAACAGAACCAGAATCATATTGACACCAAACTCTGATTTAAAAGCCAAGGGCTTTAGGTAGCTGGCACGCACAGCTCAAACTAAAGAAGTCCCAGAAGAGAAAGAAAAACTGTTGTTGGCAGTCTTAGAACTTGCACAGACAGACAGACAGGCTTTTTAATCAGGTTACTTGGCACGTATTCTGATCTGATAATCTCTAAAGTAAAGTAAAAATGCAAGGTACCAAAGCAACACAGCTTCACTATATCTCCTTGGCTAGTTTAATCATGCTGGGCATGGATAGTTCTAAGGTCTGATCTACAGTAGGAAGATAGGTTGGTATAACTACATCACAAAGTGGTGTGAAAAATTCACATCACAAACAATGCAGTAAACCAACCCAAGCCCTGGTGTAGACAGCAAAGATTCCTCCTGTCAACCTAGCTACCACCTCTTGACGATTATCTACAACAATGGGAGCATCCCTCCTCTCAGCACAGGTAGTGTCTACACTGAAGCTACAGCTATGCTGCTGCTGCATTTTAAGTGTAGACAACTCCTAGGGATGGATTGTGGTCCTACTTAGAACCTGCATTTTATTTTTAGATCAATTGAATCTAATAAAAGTCTCTTTCCACTTGCTTTTTACTCCCAAGATGGAGTTAGTAAAATATTAAGACAGTCCTTGGTAACATACACATTAGACACAATCACAACTTTTTGATTGCAGCACTGGACCTAAAAGAGAGGGGTAAGTCTAATGATATGGCTAACTCCCCTGCATGACACCAAGATGACCGTTTTTATTTTTAGTTGCATATCCTTGCTTCTACTAACGATGTAAATACGTGTATTCTAGTCAGCACATCAAGCCAGGAAGTTAGCCTTTTTAGAGGGTTTTGAGGCAATATACAACAATTACTAGTATATACATATTACTGTACATACCCTTCTGCCAAGAATCTGGTTGATAGCTGCGCTCTCTTTCAGAGTACACTCTGCTACGACGTTTGCTCTCATTTCTTTCATGTATAACATAAAAGCATTCAGAGGTTTTTTAATGTGAGGTCTTTTCGGCTCTTGCTCTTTTCTCTGTTCGTGCTGAGGCTTCCTAAAACGTGGTGGGGGAAAAGACACAGTATCTATTTACCTTTAGCCTAAAAGTTATTGAGAGGAATATTTCCAAGCTTCAATTTCAAATTAAGGATGTGCTACTGTATGTTAAGTGTGAGAGCTCGTGTTTTATCTACTACTGCAACTTTTGAACTTACAGTAGAATCTCAATGTTATGAGCACCAGAGTTATGAACTGACTGGTCAACTACATGCTTCATTTGGAAAGAGAAAGGATGGAGATGGAAGGCAGAAGAGGAAGATGAAAAAGGAAAAGCAAATACTGTACACTACTGTGTTAAAGTACTAAAAAATAAAAGGGAAAGTTTAATAAAAGTTCTGACGAGTCAAGGAAACGGTTTCTGGGTTGTTGCATTTAAATTCAAATGGCTAAAAACAGCATTTTTCTTCTGCCTAGTAAAGTTTCAAAGCTGAATTAAGTCAATGTTCAGTTGTAAACTTTTGAAAGAACAACCGTAACATTTCGTTCAGAGTTATGAACAACCTCCATTCCTGAGGTGTTCGTAACTGAGGTTCTACTGTATTCTGTATTTAGAACTGAATTTAGTGCTCAAGGAGGAGAGTGTTGGATTGGCAGTCCTTGATGATGAATGAAATTGTACTTTATTTATCCATGAAACAAACACTCTGCCAACATGTTTCCACAGTGCTCCAGAAGGCCATCTTTAGGGGTAAAAAAGTAGCTCAGTCTCCTTGCCCATTTATTTCTTGAGCGCTTTGTGTTCATCTGCTAAAAAGAATGCCAAAGTATAGTGGTGGTTTTTACAGTCAACACCTTTGCACTAGAAACTGACTATCAGCTCACAAGCCTAGCTTCAGATAAGCCACCAAATGACAAAACAGCGTTCGGCAGCTACCATCTTAGATAACATTCAAGGGAGTGGCCGAGAAATAAAGGCTTCATATCAATAGTGCTCCCATGAGCCATCCACTCCCCACTTTAGTTATGGTAAACTTTTACAGAATCATAATTCAGAGTGACCATGAAGGACACTTGTTTTGTTTTTTATTTCTCAGCTCTCCTTTTAACTATTAATCTGCAAACACTTCAGGATTTAAGGGCTAGCACAGAGAGGCAGACTCACACATGCATTAAGTCGCTGTCAGTATGTGGATGTTCTTGTTTGACTTGAGGTGTTACAATAGCTGGGTGAGGGATTCCAGTTGTGTGAGGGCCTGGAGGACCAGGAATCATATGATGTGAAAACCTAAAAACAAACCAAGTAGAGAGTCTGTAACAATAGGAAGAACAGGCTGCATATCCAAAACTTGTACTTTAGCAGTAGAACACTACAGAGCTTGCAACGAAGAAGATGTAAAAATTAGTTAGCAAAGATTCATGCATTGTATCTAAGCTTATTCAAAATAGGCCAACATTTTGGACTGAAGAAGTTATTTTATTACCTCTCAGATAAAGAGATGGCAATGTGCACAAGGAGGTGTAACATACCTATTGTTGCACTAGACATCAATAAAAATACACATTCCCTTAACCAAAAAGTGCATTTCCACAGCAGCATATAAATACTGAAAATATCCATCACCAGCCAACAAAGGAGGGAACTGCCATGCGGGGGGGGGGAGAGGGGCGAGAAAGGGGGCGGAAGCAAAAAGGAAGAGAAGAGTCCTTTCAAAAAAAACCCCATAGGTATGTCTGTATTTAGTTTTGAACCTTTTGCTTTTCAAAACATTTTATAGTAAATATGTAAGGGTCCAAGATCATTTCCCCTATAACCCTACTTCTCCAACACTCTGCGCTAATCTTTTAACTCTGAATGCAAATCTGGTATTCTGGGAGGAAAAACCAACTGGTTCTTCCAGAACTAGATTTCTTTCCCTTTCATGATGTCAAGGCAGAAGAAAAAAAATCATCCTCTTAATCAGGGGTGCGCTCCTCGAAGTGCTGAGCATTCTGACTCCAGTCAAGCAATGCACTTAAAGCACATGTTTATCTTTGAGCGTGCGAAATAGTCTCACTGCTGTCAAAGCAAGCACGTGCTTCAGTAGCTTGCTGGATTGCACTCCCAAGTAATCAGTACTTGCAGGATCAAGCCCAAAAAGAGAGCAGTTTACTGCATTTGTTAATGTTAAAGCTTATGCTACAGTGATTTGCACAAGAGAACGTAGTAACCCAACAGAATGAGGTTGGGAAGGGGCAAAGTTTGTTGTGGAGAGAGTAGCTATTTTCCTCTTGGATACCCTGACTGAGACATGCTTGTAGTTTACCTGAAAAGGAGTAGAGGAAGAGTAATTAAACACAGAAACCCATATAAAAAGTTGTGAGGAGACCACCACTTAAGTGGACAATCCAAATCCCAGTGTGAAAGCAAAGCAAAATGCAGAGATGGGACATTGCAACCTTGTGTACACCAAGCACAGGATGTGTAAGGCATCTTTTGAGAGTGCAAAAGCATTACAGAGAAGATTTGGAGTTTGGCATGGCTAAGTCTCAGTTAGCATTGCTTGCTTGCTTGCACTAATATGCAAACAGTGCCTGATTCACACACCAGTACAGACAGTGTGTGTATTTACAGCTTGTTGGCATCCCTTTCCTTCTAATAGCTCTGGGCTAAGAAATTCCAACTTCGGAGTAGTTCTGCATATTTCCACATGGCACACTACCCAATTTGAACTATTTAAGAGTGTAATTACATAATTCAAACTAGAATGAGAAGTTTTGCCTGGTTTCATATTTGAAGAATAAAATCTTGGGTATTTCCTAATATAGTGTGTCTAACAATAATGCCCATTTTATATTAAATGGTTTGATTAACGGTTAACACAGTTCGTAAGTGTTTCTAATGTCAATACTTCACTGACTGCCAGGAAAATGCTGAATGAGACTAGTGTGGGATCCAGGCAAACTGTACATACACAAACATTTTAAATAAAAATTATACATACATTTTTCGCTGACTGAAAAGTAAGCAAAGGCAGACCAAGATGCAAGCAGAAGAGCAACTTGCCCTTTAATGCCAGCAGTTACTCCCCATTCAGTCATTCACCTCCTACACCTACCTGGACATGGAAGGGTCGACTGAGAGTGAGGATGGGTAGGGCTGCCTGAATCCACTCGAGATGGGATATACAGGCTGACCTTGCCTGAGGTCACAGAAGAAAGGAACCCATCAATAATATGATATTGTATTAAAAAATACCCTAGAGTCACAAGCACTTGATGGGAACTCAGCATGGTAGCATAAACAGTTATCTGCCATGTATTCTGTAGCTCATGGGTGTCTACATGCTTGCACTGAATAAGATTTCTCTCTCGCCCACTGAAAAGATATTCATTATCTAGGTTTTGTTTAAAAAAACCCAAACCATTGCCTAATTTTAAGTCATTGGGCCAGATTCCAATACCCTCAACTCCTGTGGAACAGTAGTCCCAATGCAATTAATGTACGAGTACCAGAATCTGGCCCACTGTTAGTGTATTTACAGTGAGTCCCACAGAACTATTTGGAGAGTTTTCTTTTTTTGGGGGGTGGGGTGGGGGGGTGGAATCTTTGAAACCGAGGGACTGTCTTCATTTTGCATCTTGTATAGTATGTCACAAGTTGTCAGCACTTTTAAGAAGCTAAAGAAAACTTTATATTTATTAATAAAATATAAATAAAATGAAAGTACATTTTAGTCACTTGGGCTTAAGGCTCTTTTTTGTTTTTGTGCAATCAAGTGACTAAAACCAGCTCATTTGAAATCCTACCATTCTTTAGAATGTCTTAAAGATATTGTCTCTCTATATGGAATTCTATCACCAATTAATGCTTCAAAACACTTTGAACTTTTTCTGCTTAGTTCACATCATCTTTACTTCCAGTTGGTGTTGATGCAACTCTTGAACAAGGATTAATGCACTTAAGTAACGAAGTTCAGACAGAATAATTGATCCAGCTTTGAAAGACTAAGCACAATCAATTCTATTCAAACACTTATTGATAGACAGATTTAGTGTTAAAACTGGGATTTCCAAAGCTGCTGGCATTTTTTATGCTCAGGATAACAGTTTTCACACTTCAAGTGAGCGTGTGTGTTGGGGGGTGGGGGTGGGGGGGGGAACAGTGCTCAAAACCAGAAAAAAAGAAGAGGTAGAAATCTCAGTAATGCTGCAGCACAGAATTGAGCTGGAAGGAGGCAGAGCATAACGGACTGTGGAATATGTTCAGGTATGAGCGAGCACTGCTGAATAGATTTCCAAATTTGACAATTAGCTAGTCTCTCCTTTTCTTCCTTCTCCTTTCAGTTTCCTTCCTCCCTTCCACACCCTCCCACTTTCTGGATCAAGAAACTATTCAGAAGTGCTGTCACTTAACCAAAGCTGGCAGAAGGACCACCAGAAATCATCTGGTAGTGGTGGAGGCAGCGGTTCAGTCTCGAGACCAGTGAACATTAAACTGGAAATCAGGTGCTCTGTCTTTGCTATTAACTTACTATGTGGCTTTCAGCAAGTGATTTTTGTCCTGATTCCACAAGGCCCAGAGCTCAGACTCAGACTTTACGTCCAGAAGGGACCATCATGATCATCTAGTCTCACCTTACCTCTTGCACACTGCAGGCCACAGAACCTTGCCCAGCCACTCCTGCAGTAGACCCATAACCTCTGGCTGAGTTACTTAAATCCTCAGATCTTAATTTAAAGACTGCAAGTTTCAGAGAATCCACCATTTACTCTACTCTAGTTCAAGCCAGCCAGTGACTTGTGCCCCATGCTGCCAAGGATGGTGAAAGACTCCCTGAATCTCTGCCAATCTGATCTGGTAGGAAATTCTTTCCCAACTCTAAATATGGCAGTCAACTGGACCTTGAGCATGTGGGTGAGACCCACCAAACACCTGAGAAAGAATTCTCCGTAGTAACTCAGAGCCCTCCCCATCTAGTGTCCTATTTCTGGCCATTGGAGATATTTGCCACTATAAGCAATCATCATACCACCCCCTCTATAAACTTATCAAGCTCAGTCTTAAAACACGTTATGTATTTTTGCCCCCCTTGGAGGGCTGTTCCAGAATTTCATTCCTCTCACCACCAGAAACCTAAATTTCAAGTCTAAACTTCTTGATGGCTAATTATATCCATTTGTTCTTGTTCCAACTTTGGACCTTAATTTAAAGACTCTTTCCCTGCTGTTTAGCCCTCTGATGAATTTAGAGCAATCATTTCTCCTCAACCTTCATTTGGTTAAGATAAACAAGACACGCTCCTTAAGTTGAGAGGCTGCTCAGCACCTTGCATATTCTGGTCTGAAATGTATGTTGGTTTCCCCTCAACCTAAAATTGGGATGATAATACTTACCATTAGGTATAGGGTGACCAGACAGCAAGTATGAAAAATCGGGATGGGGTGGGGGATAATAGGAGCCTATATAAGAAAAAGACCCCAAAATCAGGACTGTCCCTATAAAATCAGGACACCAGGTCACTCTAATTAGGTAGGGCACAGAACCGAGTGACAAGGCGTGGGATTCTAATTCACTTAACCCCTCTGCATTCAGTTTGTCCTCCTATAACTATATATATTTGTTATCCATTCTAAAATGCTTGGAGATTCTCAGACGGTAAGTGTCAAGCATTATTGATCATCCTGTGATGGGAGACCCTATACATAAATACGAGCTCCTGAAGGAATCCTACTGTGAGCATTGGGAGTAGGATCCTTATACTGCTAGTGTTAAAAATTAACAAAATATATGAACTCTTCAGTAACTGAGTACTAATCTCAAATCTTACCATTTCTGTAAGGAATGTAATATAAAGTTTGTTCTCTATTTTGGTGCAGTTTTCAGTTAAAAAAAATCCGTACTTGAAAGTTTGTTACAAGTCATTGCAATTTTGGGTTGTTAAAAAAATTGATCTTTAATTCCTTGAGACCTGTTTTTCTGCAATCTTACCAAATGCCAAGAGCCATAAGTGTGAGCCATAAGAACTATTCTCACTTCAAAGTGAAATCTATGTATTTCAATTTCTGTACATGTTAAAAAACAGATCCAATTTATTTCAAAGATCAACATTTTTGATCTTTCAAGCTAAAATAAAATAGTCACTTCTCTCACTGTAGTAATGTTTTTCTTAGTTCATAAATTCTACAATTAATTCAATAATCCTAGAGAGGATGTGTATGAACATATGTCTAAGCAGCAGCAAGAGGATCTTACCAGCCAAGAGGTGGCGTTATCTGTCCTACACCACCAGGAGACAAGGGATAGAAGGTAGGGATATCAGGAGCTGGAGGATGTCTGGACATGCCTGTCAGAGAGTATGAATAAGAAGTTTGGTATTTGAGTGAAAATGTGGTGATTAATGCTATAATACAAAACTAACATGGTGAACATCACAGTAAAAAACTGTTGTTCTATACAAGAAAGTCTAGCTTCATTTTTGGTTAGTATTAGAAGAAAACACCATTAATTCCAGCCTTTAGAATAATAAATAGAGCTTGCATCCTCGACTAGGGTCAGGATTAAAAAGAAAAAAAAAAACCTTGTGGAAAAAGTAAAGGGGAAGGAGGGAAAAAACCCAACAAACATGACTATGAATGCAGCCACCATGAGATCTAAAAAAAATGTATGGGGATGCTTTGGCAATACTTCATCTCTGAAGTGTTGCACTGAAACTACTGACAGAGTCTTGAGCAAGTGTTCTGAAGAGCCAAATGAAACAAGAAAAACAAAGCATTTTCAAACAGGCAGCACGCCAGAGCTAACAGCTGAGGTAAATTGTTACTTGTACATTTTTCACTGGTTCCCTTATGAATTTACAGATTTTGGAAACTTGCTACCACAGAGGATCAGTAGTTAATTAAGAAGCATTTTCAGGCCTGTAATGGTCACACTTGATATGATTCATTTGGCTTCTGATTGTCACTCCAGCTCCAACTAAGCTCTTCATCATCAAGTTGACTCCTGTGGGCTCCAAGGTCAATCTGAGTTGCACTAGTGTTTCATGGAAAAAAATAAGAGTCCCATGAGAAGTGATCCATCAGTTCACATTCCCCAGAATACAAAACCCTACAAATGTAAAAATCACCTCAAGATTAAAGCTAATCCTAGTCCCAGCTGGGTCTGTGGTTTTCATGTTTTACCTAAAACTCATGCTCCAAGGAGAGAAGGAATTATGGTTAGAGGCCAGAGAGACATTGGTTTATTTAAAATGATGCGTTTCAGGAGGAGGAGGAGGGGTTTGGAACAGCAAGAATTGCAAATTTAACGTCACATGTTAAATCAGCTACTTTAAATTCTATATTAAATATTTATATAGGGACACTCTAAAGGTGAAAGATGGAACATTGTGATCTTTACTTTGAGACTCTTATTGTTGATATTTTGACCATAAATGGAGATTTAAAAAATCAGTTTAAGATTAAGGGATTTAAAAGGGTAGGTTAGAAATCTTAAAATTGTTTTGGGGGAGGGGGTGAGCATGGCAAAAATGTCACCCTAATGATGTTGCTGCTACTCTCTCAGTTTTGAGATTTCAGTAGGAGCTGAAATGAACAATTTAAGACCAGAAACTGAAAATTCATCTATGTTAAATTCATGGTTACAGGAAAAGTGATGGCTGACAGAAGAGAACTTTCATTTGGCTTATTCCCAGAGTACTCCATCTCCTTTTTACAGATTCTATAACAAGAATTGCCATACTGAGTGAAAACAAGCCCAGTGTCTCGCCTCTGGAAATGGCCAATCCCCAATACTCCCAAGGAATAAGAGACCACTATATTGTGTGCAATCAAATTGTTCAATTTTACATAAGGGGCTGGTGCTATTCCTTCCCCAAGCCCTGAAACATGCGATTGGATTGCCCTTATTGAGCTAACATACATGAGTTACTCCTGGTCCAAGCTATTCAGCCCTTTAAGGACTACAGCTTCAGTATAAAACATGTTGATCACTTGCAGTATGGCAGTAAAATGCACAGGCTGACTACATACCGTGTGAAAGTGGTACTTTCAGTTATTTGTGTGAAATTTACTGACAGTTTGAGGGACCCCTTGTTGTCATATGAAGGGACGGCAAAAAGGAAGGACTGCTCTCCTTGGACAATGCCTTTGTGCGTGTGAATAAACACATAGCAAAGAGTAAGAGTTTTGTAACTATTTACTAACCCTCAACTCCCAGATGATTCACTTTAAAGTCAGGCTGCACATGCATAAAAACTGAGAAAAAATACTACATGATAGCCATTTCTCCAGGAACACAACAAAGCTCAATGGCAACCATTAAAATCTCTGCCTTTAGTTAAGAATGATTTGGGTGTGGCAAAACCAGTTCAAAGCCAGCACAACTCTTGCCAATTCTGTACCACATGTTCCCAGAACTCATAATACAAGGCACATTAAAAGAAGAGCGTAGCAAGAGCCAACGGTTTGCTGAGCAACACACCTCTATTGCCAGAGACACACCAAGTCCCACAGCCAGATGCCAAGGTCTAGCAGAGCTCTGAGCAGAGGATACTCAGAAACTAGGATCTGAAGCAACTCATTTTATCAAGTCCTCAGATCAAAAAGTAACCAGGAGGTATGACACAAACACCAATGGAAGCATATAGCAACAAACATTCTTGTAGAATGACCAGATGTCCCCAGTAAACTTCATTTTACTAGGTTCTGGTGCACGGATAGCGTTTAAACTGGGAGACCTAGTTTGACTAAAACCGTGGAATGTGTGTCACCTCAAAGGCCTCCAGCCTTCTCATTCATTCCCACCTCCAGCAACCTCTCATCTGCTCATCAGAGGCATGAGCACTGCAACATCCCCCAGTTCAGTGAGAATAGGATCTATTGCCTTGTGTTAAGGGCAAGAGAGATCTGGCAAGTAGGGAGAAAGGACCGACAACAACAGAAGGAACCAAAATAAATAAGGGAGGACTTTGAGCTAGGGCCTATGGTGGGGACAAGAGGAAAATAACTGTAGCACAGAAGTGCAAATGAAAAGCAAATCCTGGCTGAAGTCGCAACATCTTCTGAGTTACCATGCCATTTCAGTGCTGTGCACCCGATGAGCCACCACAGGCTGACAACTCTCTGAGATAAGGGATAAAATGTCAGTGTCATAAGGGGGAGGAGGGCGCATCAGAGCAATGGAATGGAGTAATTTGGTTGAAAGTCCCTGAGGAATTAATTCATATACATATTGCTCTCTGGGCATGAATGCAGAAGGTAAAGACTCACAAGGCCATCAGAGTCAGTACTATTGTCCACGTAAAAGGAGCTGGAGTAGTACACTGGTCTATACTTAGTTGCCCCAATACTTAAATTCTGACTATCTCACAGGCTAGACTTTTAGGAGTTGAACAGAAATCACACAGGAGTGTGACTGGTTCTTGGATACAGTCCATTGATATTGTTGGCATAGGAAGGACAATGAGCACGCAAGGGATACATGGGATGAGTTTCGAAAACCTCCCTCAAATGGACAATACTGACAAGTACTCAACCATTTTTCTAGAAATAGGCTTGCACCAGGACCCCAATCCAGACAAACCAGAACTCAATGGACCTTCACATTCTAGCTGTGCAGCTTGGCAGTCCTCCAGGCATATACAAGAGTACTGAAACCAAGGGGTGCAACAATTCAGCCTATAGATTATGCACATAGCCAGACCCCTACACAACCTGAGCCAGCTGCCACCTGTCCCTTCACAAAGCCAAGTCTTCTGCCTTTGTTTCCCTAGTATAGACCATGACCATCACAGACCCAAGGAAGCAGCCTCTGAGCAGGCCCTCTATGGAGGGCCAGGAGCTCTGCTTTCTCTTCTCCGGTGGTACTGACTACCCTAACATCCAAGGGAAGCAAGAGACTTTTCTACAGCTTCCTAACTACCTGTTTTCATAATCATAGAATCCGTTATATCTATGCCTCTGTTGCTTCATCTACTCAGCTACCCTGGCTCCTGAATCCTCTGTTCTTCTTTACCTATCTTCTGCTCTGGATCACGCCTCCACTCTCCCCATCTTTACCTTGTTCATCATTGTGCCTCTGTGTCTAGCTTCTACCCACCTCGCTTGCTCCTTCCTTGTCCTTGCCAATCCCCTGCCCTCACCACACCACACCCCCCTCATCTCCCCTCTTGGGGATCTCATTGGGAGCTTGTTTCCTTGCTCTCAAATCCACTCATCTGGTTTTGGTTTTGAATGTTTTACATGCACAGAGAAAGAGTTGACATCTTAAGATGCACAGTTCAACTACATGCCTAAGATTCTGTTATACTTACATTGCCTCAAATTGTGTGTTCTGAAAACTACACATATATTTTACAGACCACTACTCTATTAAGGTAGTGGCAATAAGGAGAGAAAGGGAACCGAGAATCTTCCTCTTACATGGCACTACATTTTGGAATATGATGAAATACATAAAGGAAATAAGGACATGAAATACAAGTTTGACAAAAGAAGGAACTTAAGGTTTTAAATATAGAATTCAACTCACCTTCCTGGGTTTCAAATCACTGACATTTCCTATTATGCCTGTATACTGCAATACCTGGGCACAACAGGGGGCGCCAAGGAGATAATTTTTTTTTAAATCATTTTAAAATATTTTTATGAGCAAAATAAGGCAAAGTGGTAAAAATGTGCATTATCCTCCAACTTTAAACAGCCAGGACATTTATATGACGCAAGAATAGCTGTCCCATACTAACATGTTACATGTCAAATTTCAGAGGAAGATATTTTGCTTAATTATGAGACCCTCGAAACCAGGATTTACAATAGATCTTTTGATATGTTGGCGGGCTCCAGGGTACTTGAGCTCCAAAAACAGCATTGACAGTTGTTTCTTGTGCTTTCCTTTAGTTGTTAGAAGTAGCCTCACCTTGTTTTGAGTTGACATCTGAGGGGATGTGTGAAGGGTGTGACCCTGGTGAAAAGTGCTCGTCGCTGTAAGTGATAAGTGGCGTGAGAGGGTGAACCGCATGGGAAGGCTGCACCACTGGAACCTTATTTGACTGCAAGAGAGTAAAAACAAGCAGCATTAGTAATAATTCTCAATTCTCTAATAGGTCTTTTTCGGGGTGGGGGGGGAGCGAAAACTCACGGTAACTTGTTTTTAAAAGATTCTTATTTGTATTACTAACCATATTTAGCCTCCTTGCTCCTGAACATACAAAGCATGGAATCTTACCTGCTGGGGCAGAGTGCTTTTGAGGGGGATGAGACATGACAGTCAAGCTTGTAGTGGCAGCCTAAAGACTGTTGGGGTGGACCAGATAGAGAGGGTGCTGAAGCAACAGCCAGGAAGTGGCTATGGTTAGAGAGACAGCTGCAGCTGCTCTTGGGAGGCCTAGTGGAGTGGGAAGAAGCAAGAGGAGGAGCTGACTAGTAGGAGGGCAGGTAGTTCACATAGTACCAGAATAGGACCAACTTACACAGCAGAAATGAAATTACAGGAAAGCTCTACACCACCAATTACAGTTTGCATTTCTTTGGCCCTGAACAGTGAAACCAGTCTGATCAGTGTCATTTTTGTTTGAAGTCACTGTCTGGTTCTTATGCATTAATACAGTGCTATACTGTTGAAAATTTCCAACACTGCTGGGGTATCATCTCCTTCCTTCTGCCCTACCCCTACCTCCCCCAAAAGAGTCAGGAAATTTTAAATACATATTTCAGTTCATAGCAGGGAACAAAACAGTCCTCCACAAGAGAGTAATTTAGGGTATAAGGAGTTGACAGTGTCCCTTTAACAAACTAGGTTGCTTATGAGCAAAACATACCAGCTCAGTTTCTGGAGAAGGGTGTCAACCTAAGCAGCAGGAGTCTGGTACTATTTACTAAGTTTCTAAGAACAGAAAAGTGCTAAAAATGCCTGAAGACCAGTATTGTCATGTTATTCTCCCAACTGGGTGTTGGGGGGGGGGGAACCCACAGACATAAAACAAAACACTTGTATTTGATATTTTCTACAAATTAGACACAGCCATTAAAAACAAAAGTGTTTGCCTGATACATGCAGGAGTGCCCTGAAGCTAAAGAAACACCACCAGCAGTAATTCTTCTCACAGCCCAACATTATCCCCAACTCCTTACAAAAAACACAAAACTAGAAAACAACTGTTTTGGGGACTTATGTGCACGTTACCTATTTTCCTATATTTTACATCCTCATTCCTCGTTTCTCATAGCAGGACTATGCTATAGTAATTCCGGCATGTAACAGATAGATTACTCATCATTTCTACCCCAGAATTCAGTCTGCTGCCCCTCTGCAAAAATAATTATGCCACAAACAGAGGTTTTTAATTAAAAACGAAGAAAGTCAGACAAAAATGCTCTTAAAGCTCAGCAAGGACACTAACTGCCAAATATTTGGAATTAAGAGAAAAAAATTAAGAGCCCCTTGAAATGAATTTTATTTGAATCCTAATACTCAAATCCTGGCATAATAATAGATTTTAGGACTATATTTAAAAGCATAAATCAAGGATTTCTTTAGACTTCTAGAATGAGAAGTGGTAAGTGGATAACTAAATTTAAAAAAAGGCTGATAAAAGTGCATGCAGGAGTGTGGCTGGGAACCAGTGCAGTATTTTCTGCTTTCCTTGTTTTCAGAGCACCACCTTAAGGAACTTGCATTAGAAGGCAGTATCTTCTTAATGTCTGACCTATCCCTCCAGTCATATAGCTCAGAATCTAGTGCCATGATATTTTGCTAAATTATGCTATCCTTGCTCTCCTCTTAATTTTACGGTTTTCAGCACAGATTTGCTTTCCTGTGGGAAGGAGATAAGAACCTCAGGATTTTAATTTAAGCTTTGGCCTTGTCTTATATTTTGCAAGATGGAGAGAGAAAGCAGCGCTAGTAGGTGTTTTAAAGCCAACAAGCATTAGGTCCATTTTTATAACCAAATAATAGAAGCAATATGAATTTTCAATAATATGAGGAGTTCAGTTCCAAAGGTGATCGCTCAGACTGCTGTTCATCCCTCCTTTTTGTATAAATTAAATAAAATAGGTGCCAAATTTCAGATGATTTGCAAATCATGTCTCAGTCTTTAGCTGCAAGATTCGTGCATTGACTCTCCAATCAGCAGTTACTTTAGCTAGCTTAGTCAGTGTATTGTAGGTCTGTAGATGCGTTGACGTCACACACATCAGTTAGGCAGTATTGATTGTTCAAGTTTGGTAACTAACCTTTTGTACCATGTTGAGTATAATTAGTCTGCATGTTCCACAGTAGCAGGGTTACTCACGAATTAGTTTTAGATAGTATCCATTTATGCTTTTAGTTAGCCCTTCCTTCTATCCTCTAGGTCTTCAGCGTCCTGATGACTTATTTATTTAAACATCTTATTTCACACACCATAGACATCAGATTATCCAGCGTGCCTGCCACCTGCTGCTTTTAAGTGCTTGGAACAGGCAGAGCAGGTTGTTTACCGAGCCCCCTCTCAAGAGCAGTGAGGACAGCACTCAGTAGCTTCTGTAAGAGGAATGGTGGCATCAGTCCACTTCCTACTGGATAGATGTTTACACCAAAAAACCAGTAGCCGGCATGGATGGCAAAGGCCCCAAGGACTGAATGGACAGACTACTGAACAATCCACTCATCCCTAGAGATTGTACCTTGTATATGAGGGACCAGACACTGGTGATGGGACTGTGGGGATGGGAACTTTATTACCACTGCTTGTGCCATTACCATCCTAAGAACAGAGGAATTCTCTCTAGACCTCTCCATCCAGCTCTACCAATGAACAGAAAATAAGAATCAATGGATACTCTTAGAAGTCTGACATTCCCAGAAGTACCAGGTCAAAAAGTGATCTTAATTGGCTGATCCATACATAGATACCCCTTCAAGTCACTGCTTACCAGAAGTTGCATTTCTGGTAGTGGCGGTGTTTGAGACCCCCACAGATCAGAGGTGGGCAAACTATGGCCCGTGGACTGTCCTGCCCAGCCCCTGAGCTCCTGGCCGGGGAGGCTAGTCCCCAGCCCCTCCCCCGCTGTCCCCCCCACGCAGCCACACTGCTGCGCGAGCAGCACTCTGGGCAGCGGGGCTGCGCGCTCCTGCAGGGCAGAGTGGCAGCGTGTCTAGCTCTGGCCAGGCAGCGCGGCTGCCAGACATGCTGCTTTGAGCATCATGGTAAGGGGGCTGGGAGGTTGGATATGGGGCAAGGGATCCCGGGGGACAGTCAGGGGATGGTGAACAGGGGACGGGGGGGGAGTTAGATAAGGGGTAGTGTCCCGGGGAGCGGTTAGGGGACAAGGAGAAGGGTGGTTGGATGAGTGGGAAATTCTGAGGGGGGCAGGCAGGGGCAGGAAATGGGAGGGGGTGGAGGCCAGGCTGTTTGAGGCTCGGTGGCCTCAAGCCAAAAAGTTTGCCCACCCCTGCCATAGATTCAGATTACTTATGGCAAGTAGCAAAGATGTACCCTATTCTACAGATATCTAGATTTCATTTAAAATCTGAGCACTGAATCAAACTCTGCTTGGAAAGTTTCATGTTAAGTTTCAATATTTTTTTTAAAATGTATTTTATCAATGTTCTTCAGGTGATCACTGAGGAACGCCAACGTTCCACAAACTCATTCAGGGAAAGGGATTCAACCTGGGCTCGGCTTTCATTAAAAGCCTTTTGTAAGTCTGGTACTAGCGGAAGAGTGATACTGTGCTTTTATTCATTTCCCTCAATCTTAAGGTCCCTGACTGGGCTCTCCAGGGCATGGGCCCTCATGGGCTGATAAATCTGCCAGAAGCAAGGGGCAGAGAGCAATGCAAGTCACCCAAAATCTCCACTCTACTGAAAAAGCCAGAGTCATCCGACCTGCTAATATAATGGGATAGGCCAAACATTCAATCAGGCCTTGTCTAAATGGGTGGGAAAGATTCAGAACAACATGAATTAATATAAACGGATATAGTTATGCCACTATTATCCCCCATGTAGACATTTTTTCCAGGATAGGAGAGGGCCTTTTTTCAGTTCAGGTCACATATCTATACTGTGTACAGCTATATTGTGGTAGCAAGCTCTCGGTGCCTCTTCCAGCTGGGTTCTTATAGAGCCCTGATCAGTTTTAGAGCTGCCTCTCTCCTGGTGAAATTCCTGAGGGAGGACAACTGGTACAGGTTTCTAAGGAGAGGGAAATGGAGTTACAGAAGTGAAGCTTGCCCATAAACACACACAGGGTGTTTTAAAGGGGCAAATTTATATTTGCAGGTTATGGCATTTTATCATTATATGCTGCATCCACCCCCTTCCCCCCCAATAACCAATCTAACAGAGGAATATTATAAAAGTTGCTGCCAAGTCAATTTGCTTAAGCAGGATTTGTATCATGTTATAAGTGTTATCGCTTAATATTGTGGTTAACTGCAATTAATCCTGCTCATGCTGGAAAGCCAGAAAGGTTATGTTTTTCACTCAGAGGGTCTCCTTCCCAGAGTGTGTTTTATTCATGTATAATGTGACAAGACAGTTAGAGGGAGGGTGGGGGGAAAGGGTGGGGAATGTAGATTTTTTTTTCTTTGCAAAAAGAGAGGACTAGCTAAAACATGTAGGGAATGTGTTGAGTTCCAGCTCTCTCCAGACCACACTCAAAGGTAATAGGATGTTGTACTTAAGAGCATCAACAGACACAATGGCCACAATCTAGGTCACGTAGAGTAGGAGAAGAAATCAAATAATTTGGTTTCTTTTTGTACAGCTTGATAAAGGAAACCAATCTTCAACCATTTTAGAGATTAGTTTCCCTTTATCAATCTGTATTATGGACTGCGCACATCAGCCTTTCCCCAATTATTCTATGAAGTAATGTATTTTACTGCAAAAAGACTTGAGCAATTCAAATAGATCTGAACCTAGAGACTATCACAGTTTGGGTCACAGATACTGTAAGCTCCAGGAAATGGGGACTATTTATGCCTTCTATGTTTTGCACAGTATTCAGTATACACTCAACAACTACACAATTTAAAAAAATAGCCATTGCTACCATATGCA